ACACACACACACACACACACACACACACACACACGTTAGAAAACAGTGATGTGATGTATGAAAATCACATTCTGCTCCCTGCTTCAGTGTGAAGTGTTGGACTTCTCTCGACGACTTCGGCTGTTTTGTTTCCTTCAAGGACGAGCTACAAAGAACGACATCAGTCAGACAGAAAACACACCTGATCCCAGCAGCTCTGATTAAAGAGTTTGTCTTTCAATCGACACCAACAGGTTTCACTTACGAAGACCGTGAATGGAGGACAGCTAGTTAAACGAGGACTTCGCTGTTTTTGTGATGGTACGACCATGAAATCTTCACTCTGCTGCTTTTTGTTTCTGTTGGTTCTGAACAAAATGATGAACTAACAGCCTGAGCTTTAGATGTGTGTAAAGTCATTAAACAGACCTTGATCTGACTCTTTAACGCCGCCACAAGGCCGCTCCAACCGCTTGTTTGTCTTTCTACAGAGGACCGAGATGTTTGATTACATGAAGGTTTGAAATAGTAACAAAGAGTTATACTAAAAGTTGTTTTCATTTGAAATGTAATTCATTTTTATAATCTTTGTTTTCACTTTTACATCATTTTTCCTGTGTCCAGTTTTTGTCCAGTGTTTACAGACAGGAGATGAATGCATGAATACTGGAAGCAAAATGTAAACAGAGTTGAAATTATACAAACTATCAAAATTATTTCACTCAAACCAAAAGAAAAACAAAAACAAAAGAAAACTTTGATTTCTGTGTTTTTGTTGTGCTTGAAGATTTCCTGCTGAACTATGAATGAAATTAGTTGAAGGATGAATTGTTACCTGCGTCTTTCAAGTTCAAACAAGCCGAACAGAAGCTAAAACTGATGTCTATGTGAGCTAAAACTAGCAAAACAGTAGGAATTAATAAAACCATAGCTAAAAGCTAAAGAAACAAAACCATAGCTAAAGCTAAACTAAACCATAGCTAAAAGCTAATGAAACAAACTAAAGCTAAAGCGAAAAAAAGAAAGAAAGAGAAAGAAAGAAAAAAGAAATTAAAACTAAAGAGACAAACCCATTGCAAAAGCTAACGAGACAAAGCCATAGCTAAAGGCTAAAGAGACAAAGCCATAGCTAAAAGCTAAAAAACAAACCAATAGCTAAAGGCTAAAGAGACAAAGCCATAGCTAAAGGCTAAAGAGACAAAGCCGTAGCTAAAAGCTAAAAAACAAACCCATAGCTAAAAGCTAATGAAAACTAAAGCAAAAAAAAAAAAAAGATCAAAAATCAAATATATAAATATCCATCCATCCATTATCTTCCGCTTATTCCGAAGTCGGGTCGCGGGGGCAGCAGCTTGAGCAGGGAGGCCCAGACATCTCTTTCCACAGACACCTCTTCCAATTCTTCTGGGAGGATTCCATGGTGTTCCCTGACCAACTGAGAGACATTGTCTCTCCAGCTTGTCCTGGGTCTTCCCCGGGGTCTCATCCCAGTTGGACATGCCCGAAGCACCTCCCTAGGGAGGCGCCCAGGGGGCATCCTTACCAGATGCCTGAACCACCTCAACTGGCTCCTCTCGACCTGGAGGAGTTCTACTCCGAGTCTCTCTCGAATAACTGAACTTGTCACCTTGTCTCTAAGGGAGAGTCCAGCTACCCTGCGGAGAAAACTTATTTCAACCGCCTGTATCCGCGATCTCATTCTTTCGGTCACTACCCAGAGCTCGAGACCATAGGTGAGGGTAGGAACGTAGACCGACTGGTAAACAGAGAGCTTTGCCTTACAACTCAGCTCCCTCTTCACCACAACGGACCGGTACAGAGTCCGCAATACTGCAGATGCTGCAGTAATCCATCTGTCAATGTCACGCTCCATTCTTCCCTCACTCGTGAACATATATACATATACATATATATTGGAGCATATATATATATATATATATATATATATATATATATATATATATATA